GTGTGTGTGTGTATGTGTGTGTGTGTGTGTGTGTGTGTGTGATGGGCAGATGAAATGGTGCACAGCTAGAGAGAGACAGACAGGAACAGCAAGCATTAGATGGAGAAAGACTGCACCAAATGTCTCAGTGGGACTCTACTGTGCGTTCTGTATTCATGTTAATGTTGGCCTTTCTGCGTGTATGCATGTTCAATAATGCTTAATATCAAAGTGTGCTGCACGAGTAGAGCATAATAGTCATTTGTATATCTCTATATTGTAGTAAACACCCTTTGATGCTCTCTTTTCTCCTCTTTCATTATGACTGACTAAATGTATATCAAGCACTGAATACACAATTTATGTAAATTGTACAATCACATTTTGTTTTAACTTAATGCTGATTACGTGGCAGAGATGTCATGATTTTAGGAGGAAGTCATTATTTGGTTGGCTTCACTTCATTTTATGTATTACCCTAATGTGCTTATAATATACAAATTGTAATTTCTCACTAATTTCCGTTTACATTTTATCCGTAAAAAAGGTGTTGTTTACGTAGTATTGTATCTTGTTCTATTTTGTATGGGACCATTTAGTATAAATTGTTAAATACAATCTGTCAGCTTGCAAGCATGGAGCATTTTGTTTAATATACTCATTATGTTGACATGCTGCAAACCCTCCATTCAAATTAGCTATTACATTTTCTTTTAATATTCAAACAGATAAGGGTTAATAGAGTACATTTAAGCATTTCCTGTTTCTAAACAAGCTTTCACCAAGCAGTAAGATACAACACAATCTTGGCTTTTTTTTATCATTTTTAGTGAATATGAATTAATGTTATCATAAACAGATGGATTTTTCAATATTTTTACATCATCTTTCAGATTGTTTTCTATTCACAGCTTATAATGTATATTGTTGTTACTTTTGTTCATCAAGACTGACTGATCATTACCTTTCCATTCATTTTTCATCACGTACAGTAGTGGCCCTTCTATTAAAAGAAAAAGGCTAACAATATTATTTAATTTAAAACAATATGCTCTGAAATTAAAATATCAGCATCTTCACTCTATCAGCTTTGATATTTATAATGAACCTACACAAATACTGCCAGAGCAGACAGCGCTTGTGCCCACACAACCACAGAAACATTCAGTTTGAAAAGATTATCTCCTAAATGTCAACGCGAGACTTAGTTGACAATTGTCACACATTGTGAGAGGGTTTCAATGCGGCCTTCGTTTCGATGTGTCTGCACACACATCTAAATACAATTAGCTTACCAAACCATTGAGGTTGGGATGTTAGACAAGGTTAACATCTCATTAGGAAAACATTGGTTGATGCGTGTCTGCATTTTTGTTCTGTTTGAAAGGTTGAGTTGCCTGTATTGCTCTTGAAACAAAACACATAAAGATCTTTTACAATTCACCAGCAATAATAATTTAATTGCTTCATTAAATCCTATTTCTCCCTCTGCTCCAATTTACATGTTTGTTCATTTATTGCAGTTCTGCACTGGTAATTAACATAAGCTTGTTTGAACTGAGGTTGGGCCCTGTTATTTGACGAGAAGCCAACGGTGTCATTTGCATTGCATTTCTAACCGTGTGCTTGTTTATTATTCTTGAAAAGGTTTTTTGTACAGACAGGTTTCTGATTTGTTGCCGTGAATGAACGACACTGATCTCTCCAATTCAGTCATGATAAGCCATACCAACACACTTCCCTTGCACTGCCTGAATCACTGAGGCATTTCATTCAGAGCTCTCCTGCAGTGCTCCTGTTAAACACACATATTAAGTCAAATCAAAACGTATTCATAAATCTCTTAACAACAGATGTGTTCAAAGTGCGTTGATGAGAACAAAGGACACACATTCAGATGAAAACAAAGAAAATATGTATAGTGTGTGTGCGTGTGCGTGTGCGTGTGCGTGTGTGTGTGTGTGTGTGTGTGTGTGTGTAGGTGTGTGTGTGTGTGTGTGCGCTTGATAAATATGAGGTTTAGTTTTGAGTCAGAGGCAGCAGCAAAAGCCTAACTCTGAGAGTGTGTGTGGGATGAGCCTCCCTGTTATCAAATGTCTTTCTGCCTCCCCTTCATCCTTCCCCCTCTTATATGTGCCAAAATGTCTTCAGACATATTGCTTCATATTTGAATGAATGAATTATTAATTGATTTATTAATGACTTGTCATGTCAAAGGATACAATTACCTGGTGAAACTTAAGTGGAAACCATACCTTCCACCAGTACAAGACGGCATATAGTCAACATATACCGCCCAATATATCATCTGTATGTGCTGCATCCTTGAGTGTGTGTGTGTGTGTGTGTGTGTGTGTGTGTGTGTGTGTGTGTGTGTGTGTGTGTGTGTGTGTGTGTGT